AAGAGGATATAGCCCCTCCCACTGTAAGACAGGCGCCTGCTTCTGCTGTGGTTCCCTAAAACACTAGATTAGGGACTGCCCCTATCCTAATACCCACTAAAGGGTTCAGATCATGGCCTCTTATAAACCATGCCTGGAGAGTCCCCAGAGAGGATGGATTCTAGAATCTAGAAGCCTATCTCCAAGCCAGACCTCCTTAGTAAAAGGAGTGAGCCTAGAGTAAGCTATAATCAGGCTTAGAATCTATATATTATTTAAATATCTGCTACTACTATTTATAGACTAGACCTTGAGGAGTAAATATAATAATTAAAGGCTATAATACTACCTGTGACCTTAGAGAAGGAGGAGAAGAAGATAAAGTTACTAACTTATGCCCTATTAGATACTGGAGCTGAAGGACAAGGATTTATTAATAAAGGATGGGCTGAAGACCAGAAGCTAGAGCCCATCCCCCTAGAAGACCTAATAACCCTGCATACATTTGATAGAAGAGAACTAGAGAATGGGAAGATAACCCACTATGTCTAGATGGATATGAGAATTAAGGACCACTATGAGAAAGACATAAGGTTCTATATTATCTAGTTAGTACACTACCCTGTTATGCTGGGAATACCTTGGATAAAGGTACATAACCCCCTGATATAATTTGCAGCCCATAGTATTATATTTAATAGTGACTACTGCCAGAAATACTGCAATACCTCCTAGAAGCTAACCAAGATACAAGCCCTGCATGATATTCCCCTAAAAACCCAGCCTAAATACCTGCCCCTAAGACCAAAGGGACTAGAGAAGAGAGATATAGCCTTTATCTTCTTAGCAGCCTGTTTAGCTTATACCTAAAGAAATACTTAGATGTTTATAATAACCCTGGAAGATCTTGAAGCTGCCCTAAAGATTAAGGAAGCTTAAAAGGAGGACCCTGCTAACCTACTATCTAAAGAATTTAAGGACTATACTGATGTTTTCTCCCCTAAGGAGGCTGAGCGCCTGCCACTATACTACCCCTATGACTATAATATTAAGTTATTAGAGGGAAAGACCCTCCTGTTTAGCCCCCTGTACGCCATGTCCTAAGAAGAATTAAAGGTCCTAAAGGAATGGATTAAAGAAAATCTGAGGAAGGGCTTTATCCACCCTAGTTCTTCACCCACTGTGTTGCCTATTTTATTTATTAAAAAGCTAGGTAAAGGCATACAAATCTGTGTTAATTACCAGGCCCTGAATACTATAACTATTAAGGATTAATACCCACTGCCCCTGATAAAGGAAACCCTGAATAACCTAAAAGGGATGAAATATTTTATGAAGATTAATATCATCTTAGCATTCAATAATATCTATATTAAGAAAGGATAAGAATACCTAATAGCTTTCCATACCTAACTAGGCCTATTTAAGTCTCTAATAATGCCCTTTAGGCTAATAGGAGCACCTATAATCTTTTAGTAATTTATTAATAATACTCTATAAGATTACCTTAATGTCTTCTACACCACCTACCTTAATAATATCCTAGTTTATAGCAAGACCCATGCTAAGCATATAACCTATATCTACTCTGTCCTGTAGAAACTATAAGAAGCTAGCCTATACACAAAGATCCAGAAATATGAGTTCATTATCCCTGAAACCAAGTTCTTAGGCATTATCATTAGCCAGGATAGCATCTGCATGGACCCTGATAAGCAACTTTTACCAGTGATTTATCAAGGATTTCTCAAAGATTATTGCTCCCTTGGTGAACCTAACTAGGAAGGATGTCCTATTTGTGTGGACCATAACCTATAAACTAAGCTTTGAAGCCCTGAAGAAGGTATTTATGAACACCCTAATCCTAAAACCATTTGACTAGACAAGAGACATTATGGTTAAAACTAACTCTTCTAATTATATGTCCGCTGGTGTGATATCCTAGTATAATAATAAAGGAGTCCTATACCCTATTACATTCTTCTCTAAGAAGCTTTCTATCACTAAATATAACTATGAAATCTATAATAAGGAGTTGCTTGCCATTATCTATTATTTTCAAGAATAATGCCCTAAACTAGAGGGTATACTATCACTAATTAAGGTTATAACTAATTACTATAACCTAGAATATTTCATGTCTACTAAGCTACTTAATAGATAATAAGCCTGCTAGTCTGAATTCCTATCCTGCTTTAACTTCAGAATTATATATTAACCTAGGAAGTAAGGAGTTAAGTCTGATGCTCTGACCAGGAGGTTAGAAGATCTCCCTAAAGAGGGGGATGAATAGCTATAATACCAGAGCTAGATAATTCTTAAAAAAGAGAACCTTAACCCTGAAATTTAGAACTTAGTAAAACTAGAAGCTATTATAAGGAGCTAGACTAACTAAAACCTAACTAGAAATAGCTAGTTAGCTATAAGAAGAGTTTGCTTTGCAGACCTAGTAGCCTAAGTTGTTAGAACACCTAAGGAACCCACTAGAGTGCCTGCCTGACCAGCTCGGACAGTTTAACCAGATCAACCAGACCAACCGGACCAACTGGACCAACTAGACCAACTGGACCAGCCAAACCAGCCAGGCAAGCCAGACAGATCAGATGAGCCAGACAAAGCAGATGAACCAGTGCCCCCTCCTAGTATTAAGGAACTACTAGATACTGCCTACTAGTTGGATGATACTGTACAGTCTATCCTGTAAGCACTAGATGAGAATGCTAGTCAACACCCTGAGATCACCCTAGCTAATTACAGATGATAAGGAAGCTACCTGTACTACTATAAATACTTATATATCCCTAACTATAATAAGCTAAGAGCCTAGTTATTATAAGAATATTATAATAAGCCTGCTGCTGGACACCCTAGAAAGCATAAGTTATATAAGTTAATAGTATAAGAATACTACTGGCCTGGCATCTACTAATATATTAATTACTGGACCTAAAACTGCTACACCTGCTGCTGATCCACCCCATCTTATGAAGCCCATTAAGGAGTGCTATGCCCACTTCTAGTACCCAAATAATCATAGTAAGATATCTCAATGGACTTTATTACTAGTCTAGTACCTAGTCAAGGCTATAATGCTATACTAGTTATTGTTGATTAACTTATAAAGATAAGGCACTTTATCCCCTGCCAGACTACCTGTGATGCTAAAGGTGTAGCCTGATTATACATCCATCACATATAGAAACTACATGGCCTGCTAAGAATAATAATATCAGACCATAGTCCTTAGTTTGTTGCCATATTCTGGAAGTACCTAACCTAATACCTAGATGTTAAGAACCTGCTGTCTACCACTTATTATCCTAAGACTAATAGCCAAACTAAAAGAATAAATGCCATCCTAGAATAATACCTATATACTTATATTACTTACCTATAAGATAATTAGACTAACTAGCTACTGTTAGCTGAGTTCACCTCTAACTCTATCTAATCATAAGCTACTAGAATCTCACCCTTCTTCACAAACTATGGATTCCACCCATGTATGGGGTTCAAACCTATCCAGCCTGTGAATCACCCTGCTGCCAGAGATGCTAAAGCCTTTGAAAAGAAAATACAAGATGTCATCAACTATGTCCATGCCCAGATCTGCATTGCCCAGGCCTGTTATGAAGAACAGATGAACCACTACTGGAGACCTGCCTGCTGTTACCATGTGGGACAACTGGTTTAGTTAGATGCCCAAAATATCAGGACCCTGTGCCCCCAGAAGAAGCTTAACTAGAAATACATAGGGCTATTCTATATCAAGAAGATTATTAGCCTGTATGCCTATAAGCTAGAACTACCAGCTTCTATAAGGATTCACCCTGTATTTAACATTAGTCTGCTGTGCCCTATTGCTAAAGACCCTGTTCCTAGATAAAGATAACCACCACCACCACTAGTAGAAGTCAAAGGTCTGGAAGAATGGATTATCAAAGATATCTTAGACTCCTGCTAGGAATGCTAGGGCTGATAGGGCCTCTATCTAAAGTATACTATCAAATAGCTAGGCTATGACAACCCTATCAAGGAACCCACCCATTACCTAAGGAATATATAAGAGATTATAGCTAATTTCCACCACCACTACCTAAGCAAACCTAAACCAGGGGATGGTCTTAACAGAGCTTGACCCTAAGGAGAGGAGTACTATCATAGTGCTGCTGTAAATAGGAGTTAGCATTACTAAGGAGGAATTACATAACCTTAGGAATATCTTCACTGCATAATTCTAAAACCTGTTTAAAGCTCTTTGAGCTACATCCTGTCTATAGAGCCTGCCTGTACCAGCCTGCCCTGCAGCCTGAACAGATAGATAGAGACCACTGTAGCCAGCCTGAGTGTCAACTACCTCATTAACCTACTTCTGTTTACTTACGAGCCCGCACCTTGACAGTGGCACGGTAATAATGGTAGCCTCTGGTTGGCTAGCATCACATGCCCACGAGGAGTAACTCTTGAGCCATCTTGCTATAGAAATGGAGGCGACTGCGAGGCGGAGCCGCTCTAGCCTTGGGGAATCTGGGGAAACTGATTCATTCTAAATCTGGGGGAAATGATCCGGAGAAGCGGAGCCGATCTGGTTTCCCTAAACTTCCCCAGATTTCCCCAGATTTCTCCAGGGCAAGGCCCCACCGCGGGGTCGCCTCAGCGAACCGGATCGGGGGAAAGGAACGGTTCTAGTCTGTGCAGAACAGAGTTTAGGCCTCCGAGTCGGAGCCGCTCTGCTTGCCCATGGGATTCTTGTATGCAAAGTGGGCATCGTCTGGCTGCTTCGCGGCAACGCAGACCGCGCACTTGGCTTTCTCCCAGTCCCTAATATGATGATCATTAGGGTTCACCGCCATCCTGTAGTCCCGAGTCATCCCTTACAAAAGGGCATATATCTAAGCTCACCTTTCCTTTTCCTCTTGCATGGCTACGAGAGCAATATATCTAAGCGAAGAGTTCCTTATTCTTCGCGTACCACTATAATGAAGCTGTTGACTATGACCCTACCGATTCCACCTAACATAATGTTTTCCTCCAATTCGCTAAGAGGCCGTGGCTTGACCATTGGTATCACCGCATGCTGTGGAGTGTCATTCATGCTATTTGGCTACGATCAAGGTGTCTTCGGGGGCATTCTCTCAAATCCCACGTTCCAGAAACAGTTCGATGATCCCAACACCACAATGCAGGGGCAGATTGTGTCAACATACGTCCTTGGATGCGTGGCGGGGGCTTTTCTGTCAATGTACACTGGAGATCGACTCGGAAGACGGCGATCAGTCTTACTAGCCAGCGCGTTTCTCACGGTCGGCGGCATCCTCCAATCCACGGCTTTTACTCTTCCCCATTTGATTGTGGGCCGCATTGTCGCTGGCCTTGGAGTTGGCATGAACACCACGACAGTGCCTATGTGGCAGAGTGAGACTTGCAAACAGGAAGACCGAGGGAAGCTGATCACCATCCAGCTCACACATCTCGTGTTCGGCTTTGTGCTTGCCAACTGGATCAATTTTGGCTTCACGTATTGCCCATACCAGCAAATCAGCTGGCGCTTTCCCCTCGGATTTCAGTCTTTTCTTGCAATCTTAACGGCATCAATGGTCCCTTTCCTGGTGGAGTCACCCCGCTGGCTTTGTGTAAGGGGTCGTTCTCCTGCCGCAAAAGAGGTCATCGCACGGGTTCTAGACAAACCTCTCGAGGATGATGAGGTACTTGCCTCGCTCCAGTCAATTGAGACTACCGTTGCCCACGAGATGGAGTCGCAAAAACCTGGATGGCGAACGATCTTCTCCAACGGGCCGCAACAAACCTTCCGTCGAATTGCTCTTGGAGTTGGAGTCAACTTCATGCAGCAATTTGGCGGCGTGAACGTTGTTGCTTACTATCTGCCCATCATTATGAAGCGCTCATTTGGTTTCAGTGACCGCATGTCTCTGATCCTGTCTGCCGTGGATTCCATGCAGTGGATGTTTTGGACCGGTCTTGGCACTTTACTGATTGACAGGCTCGGCCGTCGCAAGCTGTTGATCGTCGGCGCTGCAGGCCAAAGCCTGTGTTTTGCTATGGCCGCTCTCGGTCTTGGTATTGGCACCAAACCCCTGGAGGGTGTGGCTGTGGCATTCATCTTTGTTTACTATGCTTTCTTCGTGAGAGCCCCAGTGACTCGGAAGCTCCTTCCCATCTAACCTCGCATTGCAGGGGCTATCCTTCTTGGCTATACCTTTCATGTACCCGTCGGAACTCAACTCTAGCATTCACCGGAACTTCGCGTGCTCGGCTGCTATGGTCATGGAATGGCTAGGTGTTTATGTCATTGTGGCTATCACGCCAGTTGGTAAGTTCGGTTTCCCCCCCCCCCCTTTGGATGTATCAACCATTCAATACTAACTCACACTGGGCATTGAGAACATCGCCTGGAAATTCTACTTGGTGTTCGCGATCGCGAATTTTGTTTTCACGATCGTTTGCTGGTTCTTCGTTGTGGAAACCTCAGGACTCTCCTTGGAGGAGATTGACAAAATGTTCGAGATTAAGTACTATAGCGGCAAATCTATGACATACCTAGAGGCTGCCAAAAAAGCGAAAGGGAATCCTCCGTGCCACGAAATTTGTGAAGACGGAGAAAACAAAGACGAGTGCGGGAGTTTCTAAGGACAACCCCAACTTTGCTAGGGGCACTCCTGTTTAATTAACGTGATTCACCACCGAGTGGGCAACCCTTCCATACTATCTTGACTGTTGATGTACTTTATCAATCCTAAAGCCATTAATATTGATGTTGAGATATTTACAATTTGAGCATCTACTTTGTCTTCCGGCCGGCCCCCCGCACCCCCGGTAGCTACTGTACTTTGATAAAGCCCGAATGAGCTGTATACTGGCCTGATTTTTTGTCTCCGCTGGGGTTACTACTTCGGTCTCAACTAGGAATTCACGCCTCTATACCAGCGGACAGACCTCCTTCATAGATAAGTCGCCCTCGTGGGCTAGCTGTCGTGTAGATATTGTACGGGGTTGCCTTTTTTTTAGCATTTACAATACGTAAATCTTGAATTTCCCGCGCTAGTACACTGTACTGTGTCTGGAAAAGCTAACTCGTAGCATTTAACAAGCTGATCGGTTGCTTTATTGGGAGGTGTAGGGAGATTTCAAGACATCACTTTCTAAGCAAGGCTTTGATCGAAGATGCCTGCTTTTGTGGTTGAACAGTATTTCGCGGTGTTGCTAGAACGAAATCACTTGAATAGTAGCTGTCCGAAGTTACCTGAACAACCGGTTAGAGAAACAAAAGAGCTCTTGGTTCTCTCAGCAGACATTCTAAACGCATACATGTGAGCGCTCTATTTGCGGAGACAAGCTGGCTTCTAGTCGGGGCTGCTGAGCTATGTGGCACGGGTAAATGGAACCTTCTACCGTGTTTTTATCGACCCCTGGCCTGATATAAGTAATAGGTGGCTTTTATTTTCTCCTTGAAGGAATGGGCTAAGATTTGGCTATGGTGCGGTATTGTTTTCTTAATTGAAAACGGAGTTTTGCTTGTTTTGATCTTGATCTACTGCCCCTAATACGGTATTCCTGGTTAGAATGCTATTACGGATAATTAATTAACTTATGATAGAGCTGTCCCATAAAATAGCCACCGCAATTTGATGTATTATTAGCGCTTGAGAGCCCATATTTCCCCGCTTTGGACACGGGAGGGCGACAACGGTTCGCTGTAAATATGAAGGCAACACCCAAAGAAACCGAAATACCATGAGCTGCGAGAAAATTCAAACGGAATAGACTTCGCTTGATGGAAATGAGGCTCGTGCATATCTCCCTATGTGTCCAGATGTTTGGATAGAACTTTTCCAATAGCTTCCGCCATCCGCGACTTGCTGCCTAGGAATCGAAGCGCCCTGATGCAGCTTTCAGCCCGTGCAGTGCTGACTTGAAGCGCCTCGCTGGTATGGTCTATGTCGAACCACTGGTGATTTTGTAGCTCTTCTATTTCACTCATGTGGAAGACGGCAGCGTTTGTGAAAGCCCGAATGAGCAGAATCGTCCAGGGCTCAGTCAGAGCGGGGCTTTCATTGACAGCGAAGTGAAAGTCTGGTAGCTGCTTCAAGCCTATAGTCCCGACGGCTTGCGGCGTTATGACCGCTGCAAACTGTGCCAGCTCGATCGAACTTGCTCTTCGAATTTTCGCCGCCAGGCCGACGTGGAGACGTTTCGCCCTGTAGCCGTCGCAGCCAAGCCGGTTCTCATCCACGAAATCAATCAGGTTTGCGAGCATAAGCGAGCCCAAGTGCCACGGAATACTGATACATGGAAACCAGCTCCTAATGCGCGGAGGGACTGATTCATAGTTCATGATTAGGTCGCGGAAGAAAGCACCATGAGTGACGTCCCAGTATCGAAATACAGATAGCGTGGTCTTAATGATTTCCTCGATGGCTGGGCCGTTCTCACAATTCCTCAAGCCGTTTTGAAGATATGAGATATGGCGGAAAAGCAGCACTTTGACAGCTGCTGACCTGGCAACTGCCCTGGTTGCAACTTCGTACGTACAAGGCCAATGCAAAAGGGATGGTCTCTCAGTATCATCTTGTGCATAGAGGTCAAGTTTCCATCGCACATTCGTTACCGGTATTTCTATAGGACCCTTTGCCGCTCTCTGTGCTCCATCATGTTGACATTCCTCGTCAGGGACGACCACTGGCCGCTCATTTATAGACGAAGAGACCGTATCAAACATGACTGCGAGCCAGTACAAGAGACCAATTGTTTGACCATCTTCTGCGCTCATTCCTTGAGGGACTTCCGCATTCGGTTCAGATTCACAACTGCGAGCGCCTTGCTGAAAGCCTGCTTGGTATGCTTCGAATCGATATTTAAGTGCGTGCATCTTGCGGGCCCCTCGCTCCATGAATATCGGCGGCCCTTCTCGGACAAAAATATCTGCGATCTTAGGTAAAATTGAACTGGTAACGCTTTTGCACAGATTCCTGGTAGCCAACCCAATCGTTGCGTCTAGGTCATATTCATTCCTGGAATACGGCTTTTGAACAAGACCAAAAATCAACTCGGCAAAAACAACCCTGAAACACTCCAGATCAGAGACATTTTGGAGTGCCCGCTTTGCCTGTTCCCAAATGGATTGCTGGAGAGCCTGCTCGAACTCGTCGCCAAGCTCTTCGCCCTTGTGATCCATGAAGTTCTCACACCTGCTCGCCCCATGCAACTCGTCCCAACGCCGTTTCCCTTGAGCCCACTGCGTGGAAAAAGCCATGACGGCTAAATTGAGGACTTTAGAAGAGGCTTGATTTTCGTATGCAGTGAGACGGATCAACTTGGCCGACTGGGCGGACCGGTCGAGCTGTCTGATGCGCTGAAACATTCGATTTGACCACGCTACGCCCCATTCTGGGTGCGTTTGTGTTCCGGGGATAGGGTTTTGCGGAATGGGTAAGGGTTCGCGCCTCCTCCATTGCAGCCTATAGGGACACGTATCCTCTGCAAGCCAGCAAGCGAGGTTGTTCTCGAGAACATCGTGATATATTTGCAAAAGGCTATCGGAGATGAGTATTTTATTCGTGTTTTCCATGATCAGATGATCTGCACCAAATGTGGAGAGTGACAGAGCATGGTGGTCTCGCATGTTCATGGAGTCATTGCGTTGCCTGTCTCCCCGACGCCATCCAGTTTGTGAATCCCCCCACTGCGAAGGCGTGGAGGACATAGGACTGCGGTAAATCAGATTTCCCTGGGAGAGACCAGAAACGACGCTTTGCACATTGACGTTTGATGAGTCAGAGCCGCAGCCCGTCATCTCTGGATTCGCAAAGCCATTCCAACCGATGTGCAGGGTCGGGTCAGCAGGATGGTTGTTGCGTGAAGCCACGGAGCTCAATTCTCCTAAACTCTCCAGACTTTCAAGTTCTTGCTGTCCTTTCGTTGCTCCACTTTCATTGGAATCGGCAATAGAAGGAGGGTCGCCGGGCGCATAGAGCCTGTCCCAGCCAAGGACATCACTCCCTTGTGGAGACGCCTGGAGGAGCTGCACCAAGGAGTCCAGGCTGGTCATGTTATTCACGGTGGCCGACTCCAAGCTCTCCTTATTTCTCGGCTGGAGTCGCTGCCTCTTGACCTGGCGTTGTCCATTATCCGGGTTGCTGTCTTCAGGGTTCTTTGGACGTTGCGCCGTGGAGGGCGGATGGAGTTGTATCCAGTGAGGGTTCAAACTGCATGTCTTCTTTGTTCTGAGGCAGTGAGAGCAAGGAAGTACGCCGTCGGAGGCTTCGGCGCCAAAGGTTCGGATTAGCCCATCGGGGCTGGACAGCGGCGGGACGGGAATACTCACGATCACTATCACTATATAGTGCAGCATTGGCGAGATATGCCTGGTCGCTATTAATCAGATAGCCGTCACAGGCTTTCTTGGCTTTCCTGCATTGCTCGCAAGAGTGATTCTGGCGCCTTTTCGTCATGATCTTGTGGGTGACCTGAATATTGTGGCCACGCCGTGTAGAGCGTATGTGGATGGCGATCAGTAAAAAATGTCCAAAGCCAAGGGACTCCTCTACTCCTGATAAAGGTCCGTCTTACTCAGAAATTTAATTTTTCGCCACCCCCGCAAACTTTTGAAACCCGTTGTGGGGGTGGAAGGGTGGTGCCCCACGGGTTTGGTGCTTCTGCGGAGGCGAAGATGGGATGCGGCGTAGTTGATTAGAGCGACAGTACTAAGAGTGAACAACAGAAGCACTGTGGCTGTTGCAAGATGAACTGGGAGAGGTCACTGCCTTTGCTATTTGGAGTGAGGGGGAAAAAGAGAGAGAGACTCATTGAAGCTCGTCGACCTGGAGTACAGGCGAATGTAATGAATTCAGCACGGAGGAAGTGGTATTTCCGTATTGCCCAGGTCTAACTAATGTAATCAGTAAGCGAGCGGATCACACAACTGAGCAGATCACCCAACGCGTTTCGACTGCCATTTCAAAAACTGAAGTATTTCAGCCTGCCACCATGCCACCAAAAGCGCGTGAAGACTCAAAAAAATTAATTAAGCAGGAGGGAAGGGTTCTACTTGCAGTATCAGCTCTGAAAAAGAAGGAAATCCTTAATATTCGTGAAGCTGCGCGTGTCTATAATGTGCCTTATACCACCCTCCAACGGCGCCTAAAGGGGCATACTTTTCAAGCCGAATTACGCGCAAATAGTCATAAAATGACTCAAAATGAAGAGGAATCACTGATACAGTGGATTTTATCAATAGAGTGACGTGGAGCAGCTCCCCAACCATCCCATGTACAAGAAATGGTGAATATCCTTCTTTCAAAGCATGGAGAAACCACTACCCAGACTGTTAGAGAGAAATAGGTATATAATTTCATCAATTGGCATGATGAGATTAAAACCAGATTCTCTAGGCGCTAATTATCAGCATGCCAAATACGAAGACCCAAAGATCATCCTAGAATGGTTTAATCATGTCTAGATTACTATGATGCAGCATGGGATTGCGCTAGAAGATATCTACAACTTTGATAAAATAGGCTTTATAATGGGCTTAGTAGCTACTGCTAAGGTAGTTACAAGATCTGAGATGCTTGGTCAGCCCTTTCTTATCCAGCCAGGGAATTGCAAATGGGTTACATCTATAGAGTGTGTTAACTCTACTAGATGGGTGCTTCCACCATGTATTATCTGCAAAGGAAAGGTCCATATTGAGGGCTGTGTCACACCCTGGGATCCGTCTCTGCTGTTCTTCTGCTAGTCAACTACTTTGGGAGCGGAGTGATATAGTCCCTGGACTATATCCAATACTTGCCTGAGGCCTACCGAGCAAGGTAGCCTAATGATATACCGACCAGGTATATGTCTGATGCAACAATACAATGATCCAATCTGGTATCAAGGACAATCTGAAGGTAACACAAGATTAATGAATAGTAAAGATAGAAGCAAGGCCTGTTAAGGATGTATCCTTAACAGTAAGAGAGTAGCTGATGAATCAGACTAGTGAACTTGTACTCAAGTGAGTTATTAACATTGAATGTGAGGAACTAAACTAAGAGTGCTAGATATAATGGTAATAAGTGTCCTTATATAACTCCAGTTCCTCCCTTAGTATGCATGGTAGATGGTATGTTAGTATGTTAGTAGATGCCTTCCACGACCCATATACCTTTAATGTTATATACTGATATACCACATCATATGACAGGCGTTGGTTGACCAATTGGTTCTTGTCTCTTATGATGGTTCTGTCACTCACAGGGATCATCAAGTGATTGGATGTCTGCTTCCTATAGTTCTGCCTGTCACATCCGCCCTTAGATTAGTGCGGCTGTGTTGGTGCTGTAATACAAGGAGGGAATGAATACCAAGAGGGTGTTATGGTCTTTTCTTTAATGCACCTCCCTTTCTAGTTTCCTTGAAGTTATACCCACCTGACATATTCCCCTGGGAGAAGCGGTTTCTTTCCGCTATGGAATTGGTAGCATGACTTGATTGGTTATATAGTTTGGTGCTCCCCCTCTTTTAGGCAGCATGAGATGCATATCTCTTGCATGGGTCCCCCAGCTGATGAGTTGTCCTCATATTCAATTTCAAATCATTGACTACGCTCAACAGGGACTTTGAAGTTTCTTAGGGAAGACTATATGTTAAATAGAATACTCCATGAAGGATTCTTGAGGGTTCCTCAAGAAACAGTCTTGCCATAATTTGACTTGGTACCTTCTTCCTTACCTAACTGACAGGCCTTCTACCCTGCACAGTAGACACCTTAACATTGACAATATTGCCTAGCTAACGCCATGCTTTTCTGCTATTTTTGTATAATTAATCTTTTCTCCTGCTTTCAAGCATTCTATCTCTGCCAGAGCTGCTTCAATTAAGTCCATATTAATAGTATTATGGTCTATTTAAATCTATCAAAAAAGTCAGTGTATAGATGAAAAATGTTCGTCAGGTGATACCATTCATCAGGTGATTTGGGACGGTAAGTAATTCCGCTCAGGCCGCGCTAAACTGAATTCGGTCAGGGAAAAAACCAATCTTTTCTTATATATTTCTGGTAGATCACTAAAATTACCGTCACATCTAATGTAATTTTTCAGAGGCTGTAGGATGGCTCCACTTGCTGGGTGATTGACAAGAGATAAAGAAAACCGCCTGAAACAGCACATGCACAAGCCCAAGGATTCAGATACTGACCATAATATCACCCTGTCAGAGCCCTGTCCGACTAGCAGTATAATCCGTACATTGCTGCCTAGGAGTTCCCCTGAGAGAAATCCCTCGTCTTCTCCCTTCCTGTTCACCCTTTGCTGTGATTTAAGACCCCGTAGGGTTCTACCAGGTTGGCACTTCTCTTTCATATTCATTCATTCATCTTCGTACTCATTATTGCAACCAAACCAATCCATCAGTCAACACCGTTGACACCTCATAATGCATAATCTCCGTGATTCGCTGCTCAGCCCTTCGCCACGAGGCACCCCTCACCTCACCACATCAGAATCTTTTCGGATAGACCAAGAGGACACGCGTCAGTGCATCGCTCGGGGAGAATTCAAGGAGATTCGGAGCGCGGCCTTCAGTAACCGAACCTGGATCACCACCTCCCGATACTGCGAGCTTGGAGATGGTGTGGATTCCCTTGAAGAGTACATTCATTCCATGTGGTATATGTACTACCAGCTCGGTCGGAATATCTCGTACGAAACGCCTGACCACGAGGGTCTTGTCCTCGACATCGTCCGCATTCAAGGAATGGGACCGCTCACTCGGCCCGTGCGAGGAAATTACGGTGTTGATATCGCACGAACTGCCGAAGGCACACTGTGGAATGATCTGCCCTTCTTGGCCACCGACATGACCAACTTCTGGAACAGTGACTTCCCGACGATGTCGGGTACACACCGACTCAACTTTGCGACTTTCCTGGCCAAACTGGCATCAACTCGCGTCGGCAAGGATAGGTTGTGCCAGATTGCCCTCATTCTATTCCGCAATCTGTTTGAGGAGAGACAGGGACTTTGCAGCGGGGAGGAGTCGGATGATGAAGATCCAAAGCGAAGCATGCATCAGCTTGAAATTTTTCACTTGTTGCCAGCTGCCGTGGCTTGGCTCCGCCATACAGGCCACAATCTTATTCTACTCTCAGAGGTCTATTGGAACGATTGCCCCAGTACCATCAGCAAGGGTGGCGAGATGTTCATTGAGTCAGAGCTTGGGCAGCGATCACCCACTGGATTCTCGCCATGGAGATACATATACTGGCTCAAGCGACTCCATGAAATCCAGGAGGAGGCCAAAGAGGCCAAAGAGGAACTCTTAGAAGAGTATGCCACCGATGCCATTGACTACATGCTCAACAAACTCGTGCAACGAAACTCTGAAATTCTCAGGGCATACCAGAACGATGGAGATGCCTTGCATCAGGAAAAACATCTGCTTTGCCTGAAGAGTCTTTTGAAGAGTGAAGCTACTGAAGCTACGGAGAATAAAGACTTGAAGGATGACTCAAAGGATGGCGTAAAATAAGTAAGACGCGAAGGAAGGCCCCAAAGCAGATGTTAAGGAAGATGTCAATCAGATCTCTCTCCTCCTTTCTTAGCTTATCTCCTACTTTAGTTTCCGAGTTCAATGTTACTCTTCTCTCCTAATGCAGCCCTTCGCATATCTGCTCTATCTTCTAAGGTGTACAAATAAGATACAATTACACTACTTACATGATTCAGATGAAATACATATGTTCTGGAGTTCTGGTAATTGTTGAACTGCTGGATTGTTCAAACTGTCAGAGACAATCCCTCGGGTCAGATTCGTGAAAAACATGGTAGCTACTAGAGCATCAGGCTACTAGCATAACTCAGCAATAAATAGATGGCTAGGATATTCTCTGAATGATAGAGATGCTCAAAATATCAGGTAGTCAATAAGTAATTTGTTGATAAGCAAAACATCTAGCTAGATACTAAACGAGTGTGGTCGTAGCAAAAATCACAGAAAAGCAAGATACTGGGGATGCACATCACATATGTATCAACCCAACATACACTCAATATTGTTTGTTCCTAACCCTTCTTGAAGCGAATTGTGAGTATTGAGAATCACGCGGCATCTCACACTTCCTGGTAAGAAGAATGGCCAGGAACAGCCATTTGAAATAGTTTTATCAATGGCGGAAGTCACACTTGACCTTTCTGTTGTAGGAGTCATATGTGCACTTATTTCCATCCTTCTCGCACTTAAAAGATAATTATCATGGTTAGCCGAGGGCAATATACTTAAGTATAAAGAAAAGATACCTTTGTGTTGGCGGCGCTAGGGCACTTGGCAAGGTATGTCTTCCCATCAATTTTGTATTTACAAGTGTTGTCCTTTGTAAAACATTCCTGGGGAGTTGTTATGAGTACTTAGTTTTAGTTTTATGTGGGCAGATATTGTATAAATCTCACTCCTTTATACTCAAGGTCGGCAGCATTCACGGCTCTAGCATTGAGGCCGTCAGACTCGGCATGAATGGGACTAGCAACCACACCTATGCCAACGAACAGGAAAAGGGAAATCTTAGTGATCTGCATGGTGAAGGGCTTGGAGCGTTGGTTGAGACAATTGGAAAGATGGATCAAATAATCATAGACAGAATTGGTCTTGATGAGATTGGTATCTTGTAAATTAGGGCGTTGAGGAGCTGTCTTATGTAGGAATCATCCTGATCCCTGTAGAAGAGGTGACAAACATGATCACCAATTTGGAGGCAGTCATCATGGGTGCCGCAGCCGAAGGATTGTTGAGCTACCCAATAAGAGCTCTAATTTACGTAGTTGAAGATATTCAGTTTGTTGGTTGGTATAATCCTATAGGCGAGCATTTGACTCATTGATAATTATACCATGTCAGGGAGTGATAACATGTGCAGAACGACCAGAGTAACAGATCAGCCAGTTAATTTTCTGGCATGCTGAAATGAGGAATGATTTTCAGATCCAAGACATGAGTGCATTAGGCATGCAGGGTAGAGGTAGTGACATATTATCATTGGCCTAGGAGGATGAAGGATAAGATTTGGGCTTAATCCCGTTCCCGACCCATGTCTCTTAAAGAATTCAGGATATTTATCTTCTTGCATTCTAGTACTCATATCCACTTAGCATCTTCCCAACTACTCATGCTCGCATTGATTCTCACAACCTGTAAGCACTACAATAGTACAGGACCTTTTGACGCAGCCCCTGTTTCCTGATATTCCCAGTCGGCTCTGTCAGGATATATTCTACCCTCCATTCCCGAATCCTGTTCTGTCCCCTGTCTTTAGGCTAGTGTCCTGGTTTGACTTCGTGCCATTTGTTTCAAGGACTTAAATGTAAAACTGCCTATAATATATAACCATGTTTGGTGGGCGATGTGTAGTCCAAATAAGGCCCCACCATGTCATAGGAGAATCCTAAGATAATCCAAACTAGTATTGCACAGGATTCGAATCCTTTGTTAGGAGTAGTGATGGGTGATGCTGCGCCCATGATTCATCTTATTCATGGTCATGGACACTGTTAAATTCCGGATATATATTTTTGATTAGCATGGCTGTCCTCATTGCACCTTTTCTGCGACAAGTCGTCTTTGCAGTCTCCGGCATTTATGCTGTGTTTTATACTTCCTTCGGACTGATCGCCCTAGATATTGTCCTTTGACTGGCCTTGATCGAGAGGAAAACAGCTAAGGAAGACCTCTGGATCACAGCGGATGGAGGAATCCCAGAGGTGCTAACTAGGGACGGGTCGTTACCAAGGAAAGCACCTACAAACCTTTCAGTATCAGTGTTTTACAAAAGTACGGCTCAAGATCAGAGTGGCGCCAGAGCAAAATGGTCCCTGGAAAATAGTAACCAATGCCATTGCGCAATTCACCAACAGCTGACTGGAATGAACCACATTGGCTGCACGAGTCATCCTCCTCCCTGAACATAATTCGTCTGGAACACAAGTTGTCCAAAATAATGCAGTATGAGAGGCTTCATCTTTCCATTGCGGACCAACAGAGCTCCATGCAAGTGGTTTGTTGTATGAACTATTGACACTTCACTACCGAGCATCTAGAGACAGACATTATTCCAGACAGCCCTGAAGGCGTTTGGGACGGAATCATGCTTTGACATCGTTATAGTAATGAGAATGGTCTTGCCTATGGTACTAGGACTATATCACCATCTGATGCATTGTTAGGGGGTTGGCTGTCAGGGAGGATGCTCACTTAATACCCTAGTGCGGGTCCTACCATCTTGCTAGTTATGGAGTCAAAAGACCATGTTTATTAATTATTCATATAGATCAGGCCACTGTTATGAAAAGTTATTAGCTACAAAAGGATAAAGTCCGCAGGTGGGTGGCAAAAGTATGACTGCCAGCCGCCTCTGTTACGGCTCCGTGAGCTACCAAGCAGTGATAGTGGGCCTGGTGGAACAAAGATTCTCCCAGGCGTTCCATCTAAGCTCTCCCTAATTTAGTTACGGAAAATTTGGTGGACCTCCGGCGGGAAATGGTGGAGTACCATGTGAAATGGCGGGCCGTTCCACTTCTGATTCATTGCCATGACTGGCCCAGTCTTGGCGGATTGACCAACTCGGCTGATCAACCTCAGCTTGATTGGAATGGCTTATGCAACTGCCACAGCGTGACAGCTGTATTACGAGTGGATCACACTGCTGGTTAAAGCTCGAGTAGCTGTACTTTAGCAATCATATTCGTAGTTTCTGGAGTGCAGGATGATAAATAAAGGATATCAGTATACCTTCCTCATAGCCAATAGCTATTTCTCCACCGCAAATCTTGGACGCATAGACTCCTTCTTTAAAGAGATGATTTCTTGTGTGTTCATGATCTCTGGTGTTGATTGTTGTCAGTCAGGGGCCATGTATCTAAAGCGGACTCTCCGCTGGCCTATCTTACAGTGGGGATTCAAAAGTATTTGGACCCCCTTTGGTGATACTAGCGGCTTCCCGGGGGTCAAATACCTTTGAACCCCCACTGTAGTGCTGACTAATTAACAGATTCTAGTTAACGTAATTGGTAAGCGAGCGGATCACGCAACCGAGCGGATCACCAAACGCGTTTTGACTTCTATTTCAAAAGCTGCAGTATCCAGCCAGCCACTATGCCACCAAAAGCGCGTATAAACTCGAAAAATTCAGTTGAGCAGGAGGGAAGGGTCCTACTTGCAGTATCAGCTTTGAAAAAGAAGGAAATCCTCAATATTCGTAAAGCTGCGCGTGTCTATGATGTGCCTTATACTACCCTCCAGCGGCGCCTAAAGGGGCATACTTTTCGAGCTGAATTACGCGCAAATGGCCATAAAATGACACAGAATGAAGAGGAATCGCTTATTAGATGGATTCTATCTATGGATCAATGTGGAGCGGCTCCCCGACCGTCCCATGTACAAGAAATGGCAAATATCCTGCTTACGCAGCGTGGTTCAACTCCTACCCAGACTGTTGGAGAGAAATGGGTATATAACTTTATTAATCGGCATGATGAGATCAAAACCCGATTCTCTAGGCGCTATAACCACCAGCGTGCTAAATGCGAAGACCTAAAGATTATCCTGGAATGGTTCAATTGTGTCCAGATCACAATAATGCAGCATGGGATTACACTGGAAGATATCTACAACTTTAATGAAACTGGCTTTGCAATGGGCTTAGTAGCTACTGCTAAGGTAGTTATAAGAGCTGAGATGCTTGGTTGGCCCTTCCTTATCCAGCCAGGGAACCGCGAATGGGTTACCTCTATAGAGTGTATTAACTCTATCCCACAGGGGGCGGCGACTGTACTTGACACCAAGCTAGGGTTTAGCCCAGAGCGGTTTAGCGGCCGGGGTATGGGGGTAGGGACCAACGAAACCGTCTGGGGTACAATCGTCGCGCCAGATAGAGTCGTATGCATTTCAAATTTTGGCAGGTTACTGGTTAGCTGGTTTCACATAATCTGACCAAATTTCAATTGGGAATTCGATGATTTGCAGCTGTAGTAAGGGTGTGGTTAATGTACGGAATTTTGATGTGGTTTGAGTTGCCGCCAAACAGTGAGAATCTGGAAAGCACTGCCCATGACCACCACCATGGCTCCAGGGGAGGTTGGAGGCAGTTTAAATTTAGCCAGCTCACTGATATACTAGTTCCAAGTAATCCAGCCAAATTTCAGTATCAAAATCAATGATTTGCAGACATGGTGAGGGCATATTTGACCCCCAGGAGTTGGTGTGGTTTGAGTTCCTGCGGATAGAAAAAGCAATGCCCACAAATCAAACATTCAGGGGCTGAATCCCATCATCATTCAGATAATCAGTTAAATAGTATTATATTCATCCAAATGAGCCATTAAGAATGGAACAGCAGTTATTTATTAAGCTTTCCCAGCCACCAGTCATTATCTGCCGGTCCTGCCGCCATGGGGTGTGGCTAGCTGAGGTAGAAAGCCATCTCCGGGGGAAGGCCCATCGATTACCCCAGGCCACTGCAAAGCAGATCCATCAGGACGTCCAGAGCTGGGAGGGTGTGGAGCATGACCCCCATGCTGTGCAATGGCCTAGTCGGATTACCCAGTCAATCCCCCACCTGGATGAATACCCTGATGGGTTACTGTGCCAGCGCGACCAGGCCAGATGCCAATTCATCACTCGTTCACTTGACACGTTAAAACGACATTGGCGTGAGCACCATGGATGGACCGCACCATATCATGGAGGTCGATCACGCCTGCAAGAGCAGGAACAGGCGCAGATCACCATCCAGCAGGGATATCAGGTGGTGACCTGCCAGCGGTTTTTCCCATCCCGAAAAGGGTCCCATTATATCTGGGTGCCATGCCCCAACCAGCAGCCTGAGGAGCAAGCCCGGACCGCACCCACTGCCCACATCCAGGCCACCGTTGATGCCGTGATCCAGGCATGGGAGCAGGTCCAGGCCCAGGCCAAGGCCGATCAGGCCATCCAAGCCAGCCAGTTGACTGACGCGAACCCCTGGCTGCGGATGACTCGGTGGGCTGACTACCTGCAGGGCATCCAGGCACGTGACCTGCTTGCTAGCATGGCAGCCCCGGAGGAAGACCCCATGGATGCCACTGAGCAGGGGGTGCAGGTGATCTGGGATACTATGGAGCAGGTGGCCCGCAAGAGCCAGCGGACGGTCCAGCATTGCGGCCAGGCCATCCGGGTGGAAGCCGTCCGGTCTGAAAAGGGGCAGACCCCGCACCGGCCACTGCTGGCATATATAGATGAGGCCGTGATCAAGAAGCATGTGCAGCCATGGCAGCAGATATTAGCATTTATTGCCCGGACCCAGGCCCCGCATGACTGGGCCAGCCCCCGATATGGGATGACCGCACGGCAGCGCCAGAAATGGCGGCAGCTATGGCAGCTCGCTAGCCAGGCCCCAGGCAGCCAGGGCAGCCAGGCCGCAGTGCCAGGGGACCTAGAGGCATGGGCCATGACTGCTATAGAAAAAGCATGCTTAGAATTTTGCATTGAGCTGCTCAACCAGCGCCATCGCAGCCATGAATATGAGAGTGCATTAGTATGCGCCATGGCTGTGCTGGGCCAGGGTGAGGCCGGCTGGCGCGACCCCGAGAGCTACCCCCCGATATTATCCCGCGTGATCAAGGTGGCCCGATTCATGGTGGTGCAGAAGGCATTATGGATGGACCCCAATCCATGGCAGATCATTCAGACCTGGGCGCGGAAGGACCAGAGCGCAGAATGGGTGCTGGCCAGCGCGGATGATCAACTCGGGGAGATTGATGAGGGATATGGCAGCGATGACCCCCCATCCACCCCAGGGGCCCCATCATCGCCCCCGTCATCCATCCATAGTGATGACCCATTGCCCGCGGTCCACATTCGCCCGAGCCGCCGGCCATTCCAGGAGCAGGTGACATGGATGATGCACCCAGTTTATGATCCGTGGGACCCACGGCCCCATGAGACATGTGGACTGCGCACATATGGATTAAAGGTCCATTATATCATACGGCCCCGGCCATGTGACATGGATGGGGAGGACAACTGTTATACCAGCAGATGGCATCACCATGGGGGATTTCGGGGGTTCATCCATGGGTTAGTCACGGCGGCGCGGGAGATACTAGGCCAGTTATGCATGCAGGACCATGCGCAGATGCCCCCCATTCCATGGACGGCATTATATGACGATCCCAGCCAGAGCCAGGCTGGGTGGAACTTTTTGCACGACGCACGGACCCAGTGGCCGGTGGATGGGACCCACTGGATGATCGACCGGCTGCGGGCCGAGCCGGCCATGCAGCGGCATTTCCTGCGGGGGGGCCGATTCCACCCTGGTGCCATCCAGCAGTATTGGCAGCGCGTGGCCCAGTTTAAGGAGAAATTAGCCGTTATGGTGCATGTGACAGCAGGGCAGCCGGCCCGGGCCCCAGAGCTATTAAGCATTCAGCATTGCAACACTGCGAATAGTCAACAGCGGAATATATATATTGAGGATGGCATGGTGACGTTTGTGACGGCATATCATAAGGGGTTCCATGCTAGTAATGATGTGAAGATCATCCATCGATATGTGCCGCGGGAGGTCGGGGAGTTGGTGGTATGGTATATCTGGCTGGTGATGCCATTTGTCGACCAGTTGGCTGCATGGCAGGCCGCGCAGGTCCCGCAGGGGAGCCAGGCCGCGCAGGGTAACCAGACCGCGCAGGGAAGCCGGGCTACACAGGGAAGCCAGGCCGCGCAGGGTAGCCAGACTGCGCAGGGAAGCCAGACCGCGCAGGGAAGCCAGGCCACGCAGGGAAGCCGGGCTACACAGGGGAGCCAGACCGCGCAGGGGAGCCAGACCGCGCAGGGAAGCCAGGCCGCGCAGGGGAGCCATGGAGCACAAGGCAGCCAGACCACGCAGGGGAGCCAGGCCGCGCAGGGAAGCCAGACCGCGCGGTGGAGCCAGGCCGCGCAGGGGAGCCATGGAGCACAAGGCAGCCAGGCCGCACAGGGGAGCCAGGCCGCGCAGGAAGCCG